ATGGTTCTCCACACCACCAGCTTATTTCGCCGAAAGATTAACCTAACCTAACCTAACTTAACTCTAACCTAACTTAACCTAACGCCAACTTAACCTAAACCAATTTAACCTAGGTAGAGGAGGTGGAGGACGAGCCGAGGTGAAGTAGAAAGTGGAGGACGAGCCGGGGGAGGACGAGGTGGAGTAGAAAGTGGAGGAGAAGCCGAGGAGGGGAACGAGCCGGCTCGATGGAGGAGGTGATGGAGGACGAGTAGCTAGAGGTGGAGGAGGAGGTGGAAACGAAAGTCACGTGTGGTAATTTCCTCTGACAGACAAGGTTTCAGTTTACATCCGGGGTGTAATGAACCGGCGGCGGGGTCGAGGGAGGCAAGGACGTCCGAGGGTACAAGCTGTCCTTATTGAGCTGTGAGTGTATGGGTGATATAATGAGTATGGAATGTAAAATGAGTGCGTGATAGGCATGAGTGTGTGACAGATATAATGAGTGCGTGATATATGAGTGACATATAATGAGTGTAACAGTTATAATGAGTGCGTGATATACGAGTGTTACAAGTATAATGAGTGTGACATGAGTGTGCTACAGGTATAATAAGTGTGTTACATATATAATGAATGTGCGACATATAATGAGTGTGTGGAAGTTATAATGAATGTGACAAGTATAATGAGTGTGATGGGTATAATACGTGTGACGGGTATAATACGTGTGACGGGTATAATGAGTGCGACAAGTATGAGTGTGTGGAAGCTATAATGAGTGTGACGGGTATAATTGTTGTGTGGAAGCTATAATGACTGTGACAAGTATAACGAGTGTGTGGAAGCTATAATGAGTGTGACGGGTATAATGAGTGTGTGGAAGCTATAATGAGTGTGTGGCAAGTAATGAGTGTGACATGTATAATGAGTATGCGGCAAGTATAATGAGTGTGAAAGGTATAATGAGTGTGTGACATATAATGAGTGTGTGGAAGCTATACTGAGTGTGTGGAAGCTATAATGAGTGTGAAAGGTATAATGAGTGTGTGACATATGAGTGTGTGACATATAATGAGTGTGTGGAAGCTATAATGAGTGTGACGGGTATTATGAATATGGAAAGACTAATTAGACCTAGATAGCGCTATCAAACCTGCTGTAAATTAATAAATATACTGTATAATGTTAAACCCTGTAGAGATGTGAGTGTACAGTGTAAAGGTTTTTCTTAGTAACAAATCAAAGGTCACATCTTGAACACGTATATGGAGATTATATCATTAAGTGAACATTTTGAACGTGTAGCTAACCTAACCTAACCACACCTAACCTAAACTAATGTTGAAGCTTAGAAAGGTATCAGGTAATTGCTAGTATACCATCTCTCACCAACAAAAAAAAACAATGGATCTGAACTTCTTTGAACGTTCTGAACTTTCCTGTTTATATTATTCTGTCGTTATATCTTGGTGGTTAGTGTTCATACACTCTCTCTCTCTCTCTCTCTCTCTCTCTCTCTCTCTCTCTCTCTCTCTCTCTCTCTCTCTCTCTCTCTCTCTCTAAATTCCCTTCCCTCTCCATCCTTAACTACCGCATCCCCCCCTCCCTCCCTACCATAAACCCCTCCCCCTCTCTACAACTATCTCCTCCCCCCCCACCAATAAACAAATGTCGCTTCGAATCATCTAAAAAATAACATAGAGTCTATCATGAAATTAATCTACACATACCATCAACAAACAAACAGTCACTCAACACCTTAACCATTCCCCGCCTCCTCCCTCTTGATGCCGAATACAGCTCCCGTCCGTTCCAAGTGTCCGTCCGTTCCAAGTGTCCGCCCGTTCCAAGTGTCCGTCCGTTCCAAATGTCCGTCCGTTCCAAGTGTCCGTCCGTTCCAAGTGTCCGTCCGTTCCAAGTGTGCGTCCGTTCCAAGTGTCCTTCCGTTCCAGGTGTCCGCCCGTTCCAATTTCTCGGTCCATCCACCTTACCTTACCCTAATACACCTCATCCTCGGTCATTTCAGCAAATCATTCTTATCATACAAAGTTCTCCTTAACACTAACTACTCCTTATCAGATCACCTTCAATCTCTCTTATATAGTCTTCTCTTGTCGTAGTTATCAAAGTATAATCTAATGCTGAAATAAGGTGATCCAACCCTCCTCTATATAATTACCGTAACGCAACTCTCTTCTCGATCCTCCTCCTCTCCCCCTCCTCCTACTCCTCAAAATCATGGAACCTGTTGTAAATAATCAACAACTTCAAATACTTCAGAAGAACACTTTTGCTACTAATTAAGGTTTCCGTTCCAGTGTTTATCCACAACACCCTCCTCCCCACCCCCACTATCCTACACTCTGGTTACACTCGTGTTTCCTGCCCCTGGTGCCTCAAGAAAGAAAATAATAATAATAATAATAACAACAGTAGTAGTAATAATAATAATAATAATAATAATAATAATAATAATAATAATAATAATAATAATAGTTATAGTAATAGTAATAGTAATAATAATAATAATAATAATAAAAATAATAATAATAACAACAATAATAACAGTAGTAATAATAATAATAATAACTAATAATAATAATAATAATAATAATAATAATAATAACAGTATTAATAATAATAATAAGAACAAGAAGAAGGAAGAGAAGAACAAGAATAAGAATAAGACTGATAATTACAACACCAACCCTCAACTTGCGAACTCGTAACCAATAACCACTAAATCACAAGTATCTACTTCTGTTTGTACGGACTCCGTGTATCATAATACTGAAACCCCTAAAATTACATCTGATGCCACTGTTGCAGGGACTAGCAATTGAACACAGGGCCTGACAGTGAATAGATTGTTGCATATGTTATCTCGATGCGAACACCTGGGAGAAGAGGTCAAATTTAACACCTGGGAGAAGAGGTCAAATGTAACACCTGGGAGAAGAGGTCAAATGTAACACCTGAGAGAAGAGGTCAAATTTAACACCTGGGAGAAGAGGTCAAATTTAACACCTGGGAGAAGAGGTCAAATTTAACACCTGGGAGAAGAGGTCAAATTTAACACCTGTGAAAAGAGGTCAAATGTAACACCTGGGAGAAGAGGTCAAATTTAACACCTGTGAGAAGAGGTCAAATTTAACACCTGTGAGAAGAGGTCAAATGTAACACCTGGGAGAAGAGGTCAAATTTAACACCAGTGAGAAGAGGTCAAATGTAACACCTGGGAGAAGAGGTCAAATTTAACACCTGGGAGAAGAGGTCACCTGAAGAGGTCAAACACCTGTCAAAACACCTGGGAGAAGAGGTCAAATGTAACACCTGGGAGAGAAGAGGTCAAAATGTAACACCTGGGAGAAGAGGTCAAATGTAACACCTGGGAGAAGAGGTCAAATGTAACACCTGGGAGAAGAGGTCAAATGTAACACCTGGGAGAAGAGGTCAAATGTAACACCTGGGAGAAGAGGTCAAATTTAACACCAGTGAGAAGAGGTCAAATGTAACACCTGGGAGAAGAGGTCAAATTTAACACCTGTGAGAAGAGGTCAAATTTAACACCTGTGAAAAGAGGTCAAATGTAACACCTGGGAGAAGAGGTCAAATGTAACACCTGGGAGAAGAGGTCAAATGTAACACCTGGGAGAAGAGGTCAAATGTAACACCTGGGAGAAGAGGTCAAATGTAACACCTGTGAAAAGAGGTCAAATGTAACACCTGTGAGAAGAGGTCAAATTTATCACCTGTGAGAAGAGGTCAAATTTATCAACTGTGAATCACCTGGTCTCATCATGGCTCTAGTATAGGCACCTTTTATGTAGTGTACTTAGCGTCATTATGTGTGCTTGTGATGCTTTTGGCGTCATTATGAGCAGCTGTCGTTATATGGACACCTGTGTCACACCTGGCACCATCAGAAGAAAGTACGAGACACCCGTGAGTCATGTGTGAGTCACCAGGCATCATTAGGATAACTTCTGAGTCACCTAAAGTCATCATGAACGCACGTGAGTCATAACCATTTGCGAGTTCACTGAGGTAAATACAGTACCCGCACTTTTAGGACACCAGCCATCACACCCATACATGTCCTTCCTTCAATATTCTGTTAACTATTTTTTTTACTGATCCTCATAAATTTTAACTTATAACACTAGCGGATGCATAATAATAACAACAGGAATGATAGGAACATAAACCTTGTATTTATATAATGATTCACGATTATTTGAGTGAACTCCTCTCTCATGTTGTCTTTACCTCTTGTACAATAAGAGACGAATTTGTTGTTTTTGTCAGGAGGTTCCACACCTATAACTACATCGCATACTAGTCCGGGTATTAACAGTAGTAGTAGAAGTAACGGTGGTGGTAGTAGTAGTAGTAGTAGTAGAATTTTAGTAGTAACAGTGTTAGTAGTATTGTAGTAGTCGTAGTATAAATAGCATCAGTAATATTAAGTAGACTGTAACATCACTCGGAGGAAAAAATTCTTAGGGAAGGAGCCAATACTCTTTTTAGCCAATTGTTCAAGTTTTACGCATGTTTCTACAGTCAGATATCCGACTCACACACACAGCTCATCAATCTTATTTAATTGTCATTTTCTCCTGAAGAATCTAGATCAACCAGTCACCTCACACACATAAGTCTACCAACACTCAATTTATCTTTGTTTACAAGTGCAATTTCGTCCTCCATGTGAATAATTCGTACTTCCCTGTACTATTAAATACACACGCTCCAAAAAAGTGTCTTTACCACTTTGTATTGGACAATATTACATAACAGACGAAGGATTTTGACAACCCTACCGAGACAACAGGAATCGTGGTGTTTATTTTGAAGTTTATCGACCATCCGTGAAGATACTTTTTTGGGCGTATATATATATATATATATATATATATATATATATATATATATATATATATATATATATATATATATATATATATATATATATATATATATATATATATATATATATATATATATATACATGACAATTAGCTGTATAATGCTCAGCATATGTAAACACCCTTATGCATGATAGCTCTAAGGCTAATATTAACATGCATATAACAACCTCATTTTGTATTGTTAATATATTAATGTCATTATTCTGTATTGTGTCTAAATGTAACTACAGTGTTATTTTCTCAACATAACATTTTTAGTAAAGGAATTACAAAAATAATTTCATTGTAAAACAGTCCTCAACACCCAGACCTGTAAGTTACCTCCCCATCACAACACCCAGACCTGTAAGTTACCTCCCCATCACAACACCCTGACCTGTAAGTTACCTCCCCATCACAACACCCTGACCTGTAAGTTACCTCCCCATCACAACACCTCAACACCCAGACCTGTAAGTTACTTCCCCATCACAACACCTTAACACCCAGACCTGTAAGTTACCTCCCCATCACAACACCCAGACCTGTAAGTTACCTCCCCATCACAACACCCTGACCTGTAAGTTTACCTCCCCAGATTTAACAATGTAACATACCGTATCTAAACCACTTCCACTAATAATAATATACTGTACAGTATGTGTGTTACAACATCAATTTTAACAGGGAAAATAACTTCACAATGATGTAAAAAGGCAAACATTTATACAAAAATCGTAATAAACTTTTCTCGTGACAAAATCCATGTAAAAGTGTGTTAACGAAAAGTATACTGTACATTTAATGGAATAAACTTGCAACAGTGTATATGTGTTTAGTTGTGATTTATATCCTTAAGTGATTGTCAGTATTTGGGTTATTTATCCTGATTGGGTGAGTTGTCAGTTTGTTTGTTAAGGTAGTACACTGTCATCAAGTGTTTCCTTCAAGTATTCATATCCTTGTACACCTCTTCAAGTCGCCTTCCTCCTCTTCCTTCTTCATGATAAACTATCTGTGGTGTTCGTCTCATTCTTGGTCTTCTCTAACCCTTGCTTCTGCCTGCCTTTCACACACGCACACACACACACACACACACACACACACACACACACACACACACACACACACACATGCTAAAAAAATAAAGAATAACAGTGAAAATAATACAATACATATTTATGTCTAAGAACGTATATAATAGCCATATATTTCAATGTTTGGCAGTGACGTCACAATGGTTTCTTCGGCTTATCAAATAATTCAAACCAAGATAATAATGTGTAACTCCCCCCCCCCTCCAAAGTAACTACACGGAGGGGGCCGATGAACATCTCGACTCCTGTTGTATCGGTAGGATTGTCAAAATTCTTCGTCCATTGTCTCACACAAAATCGTAAAGATACTTTTTGGAGTGACTGAACTTTGGTAAAGTGAAAACCATTTACACTTACACATATGTAAAATAAATTTAAACCCTCTCAATAACGGACTTCTCAGTAAAGTAATGGATACAGTAAACCTTCTCAAATAATGGACTTCTTATTTCTGGATATTCTCATTAACAAAATCCTCCCAATATTGGACAAGTGCGTGCATGAATTCGTCCGGTATTGGGAGGGTTTAGTGTATTCGTCGATTAATAATACTAACAGTGATGCAACAATGATAAATTACCGTAACACAGCGGATATTACACCCGGACAACAGCTGGACGGCAACTTATTTCACATATTGACCATACAACTAACAATAACCAGTTAGTGTGTAATAAGCAGGTTATGCTAGAGTTATAAGCTCACCACAATAGGTAATACTCTATCTTCAAGACAAGAGACAATTATTAGGTTATAAGTAATAAACCTGTAAAGTTTATTTCCGTTAGTCACTGGTGGAGGAAAACAAATTCAAATACCACAAATGCCAAACAACACGTCACATGCTTGGGCGTCCGCTAGGGGGGTGGGTGTTGAGTCACACCCGCCCCCCCCCCCCTCCCCCCGGATTAGACTTGTGTCCAAATATATAAGCAACAAATACCCAACAAAAGAAGGGGATTTAGAATATACCAAAAACGAAGGGAAGGAAAAACAAACCACTAAAATATTAGCTCAGCGATCCCGACTGTGAGGGCTAGCCTATCCCCAAGGGCCCCCCTCCCTCACCATAGAAGAGTTGCAGTGGACGCCTTTGGTCACATCTATCCATCTATATAAGAAATTATTTACTACTTTTTGTGCGAGTGAAAAAAATAAATCAATAAAGAAATATATTATTTAAACACGTAAGACAATATTTAAAATAACCTAACCTAACTCCACCAAACCACGAAGACACACCTTTATTCCTAAGTTCTCGTTCCTATCAAAACCACTGAGACATTTTACCTCCCATAAACAGTAAGGTGGACAAGGTGTGTGTGTCGTCACGTAATTCAAACTGATTCTGCGGTCAGATTATACAAGGTAGTCTCCAGGTGAAAATATTAGACCGCCGCGAGGAAACGACTATGTTCAAAGCCTGCAGTAACCAGTTAAACCTTAGTTCATGTTTTAAAGTGACAACATGTTTCCTGAAGCAGTTTTAATTTAGCGTTGGTGACGTTATACTCGCACGGGGACGATAAAAAATAAAAATAAATACAATGCTCGACGCCAGCCAATATACCAACAATTAAGACAGCGATCAACCAAACATTACTTAGACAACACAACTGTATACTTCAACGTTCATAATCCTCCAGTATACCAAGACTTGTTGCTATTTCCGTCCGCTAGTCATACTTAAGTATCCTCTGTATAATATGTAAGACCTTGATCAAGTGACGGTCATCCATTACTACAGGTGTGTTCTCTCTTTCCCGGTATTCTTATCCGTGTTGCCAGAACCACTTACACTAAAACGAACCTGTTATTCTACTTCAGTAATTTATGTCATAATACATATTTTATATTTCCCTTATGTAAACTAAACTTTTACATGTTTCTTGTAAAAAAAATTCTCACTTACGAACAATGACCAAACCTTCAGTAAATGATTATATCGTGTTTTTTACAGTACATACAAGCAATATAACTGGCAATTATTTGTGCTGGGAGGACACTTACAGTCTCTCTACAAAACAACAAAAATAATTCATGGGAAATTTTGGATTATTTCTCAGGACTACACATGGATGATTATTCAACTAAACCCAACCATTTCTTGGCTCTAGTTGTCACAATAAGAATTAAAATTCAAGGACACTGAAAAAGCTGAAACACATACCAGAGACTCCTCGGGCACCGAAGAGTAAGCAATGTGAACACCAGACTATTTCATCTGACGAAGACTACACTGAGGGACTGGAATGAGTAATTGAAAGCTGTTGAGCCTGTAATGGCTTGTTTAAGTCGGTAACTGCTTACTTGTATACATAAACACTATTGTCATTAAGACCAAGTCTCTGAGCCAGCTGGAACAAAACAGAGTTAAGCCACCACCTTTTTTTTTGTTGCCTTACGGGGGAAAAAAAGCGGCAACAAAGATGGAAGTACCTATGTATACCCACACAAACTGTCTGTCATCCCTCCAACACAACACAGGAACCTACTCTTGGTGCTGTAAGAGCTATAAGGTGTGAGAACCCTGGATCCCCTTTGTGTTGACCAAGTAGTGGTAAACCTTCTGTGGGTGATTTAAATGACTCCTATACCCTGTAAACTGTCTCCCAGGTGTACCACAGTTTAGGGCCCAGAGACCGTATTGACCTGAGGGCCTATAGGAAGAGAGACACTTGTTCTTGGCGCGGGTATGAGAGGAGAGGTAAAGGACTATACCGACATGAAGGGCCTCGGGGTTAAGGTAAGTGCCTAAGGAAAGGTTTAATATCAGTAATAGGAAGTCCCCCAGCAGGAGAGGCACTCACAGCTAGGGATACAAGGTCTTTCCGGGGACGATGCTTCCTCACTCCCCCTAAGCAGGATGAAGCCATTCTTCTCCATCTCTGACTCGTTAAAGGTGGGCTGGGTAGACGAGATAATACAATATTCAAGAGGGATTGAGGGAGAGACCTGTAACTTTATTTTCTCTTAGGCGAGATTATTTTATTTAATATTCTTCCAACCTTATTTAATCATGGTCTAAGAACTGAATGTTGAGTATACTGGGCCAACTGTCTGTGATATCCTCCGTCGCCTTACCAAAAGTAGGGCGAGATAGTCCAGCCGAGACACGGAAGAAGACAGTGGGAATATAGGGTGGCTTTATTACCGCATCTTCTGAGGAGTCTAATTGTACTAACGATTTTGTTTCAGTAAGATCGTTGATGTTGACCCAAACTGTGAGGAGGAGGACTGCTGCTTCACAACCTTAAGGATCCAGAAACTAAGTTGATCTTGATGTCAACAATGTAGCGTCTTCTCTGTAGACGTTCCTGGCGGCCTCTGGTAATGATGCAGTAGAGTGTGCTGCCTCGGGTGATGAGTCGAACCTGCCATCTTTCTTCCTCAGGGTACATAACAATGCTTGGAAAAGTAAAGACTTAAATCTTATCCGGAATCAGACATTATTAAGAGAATGATGGTGGCTCTTGGTGTGTTGCTGAACTGTATACCTGTACTGCCTGTATACATGCTGAACTGTAGACCTGTACTGTCTATATACTTGTTAAACTGTGCAAGTAAATCACTGTAGGTGCGCGTGATCCAAGTATATGCTGATAATCACAAGGAACCACAAGAAAACTGTATACCTGTACTGTCCATATACAAGATGAGCTGTATAAAGGGACGGACCCAGTCAGTAATAAAAATGAGTTTAATAAGACTTTAATACATAAAACTAAGTGTTGGTCTGTTTCTAATAATTAAGGAATATATACAAGACCTCATTAATGGTCAAGGAAAAGTTTATTAATATATTACACACTCGTCATCACAATACTAAAAACCACTAAAGTTAACACAAGAAATAAAAAATAACCCTAATTTTATGTAGTAAATCAATATAACCACAAAATTTAACAAAATAAATCAAGGTTAAGTTATCAGTTTAACATAAAATCAAGGTAATGTAATAATCTTTGCTCAAGGATATTTTACATTGCTAATATTACGAAAACATGCACTGGCTGACGCTGTTCTATCACCCAAAACATCTACTAATTCCACCCGCGTAGGAAGAGCTCGAGCAAAGCTGGTAGTCTCTTATGTCTATGATTATGTTTCTATAAACATTCAATAAGGCGAGACCATTAATGTGTCTAGTTTTAGTGTAGAGAGCACATAACTTTTGAGATTCATGAGTTGACTGATGGAACGCTCACACTCGCGCCAAGTAACTGTTAAGGTGGCACTGACTTGGAGCATAATTCAGTATACAGTAATTATATGTTCGTATAAGATAAAGGGAAGGTTTGCCTATGTGTAGCTGTCAGGGAGTTGGGCAGGTCAGATTCCCAAGCATTCCATTTCTGCTGTCAACACTCCAGCTCTGCTTCAAGCCACTCTGGTGAAGGAGGATCACTGACCATTGACTGTTTGTACTTCAGAAATTTTTTCCTCGATTATGAGTCATTCATTGAAGGAAAAAGAGAGCCCCAGAAAATCATGTTGTTGAGTTGACGAGGAACGAGTTTAGAGTTCACAGAGTAATGGCCAACGAAAGGAATTGTGGTGGTGAGATGGAAATACTCTTTTGGGGAACTGCTGGCATGTTAGATCTATTAACTTTCCTTCTGTTTAGACGAGGTAGTGATGGCTTAGGGGCATTGACTCATGCAGGTAGGGCAACAGCTTCCGTGTACCAAGTGTCACCACCTTGATTAATATCACCGCGACACTGTTT